GCTGGAGTTGCTCCTCTTGATTTAAGTGGTACACACCACGAAGAGGGAAACAACGCAAACACAGCAAATAGTAGCGAAAAAGCTGCAGAGAAAGATGCTTTTGTGCTCTTAGGTAGTAAACTTAAGGACCTTATTGGTATGATGGCCCCTCCCAGGCGCAGCATTCACCAGCCAATGAGGGACTTAGTAAGTGAGGTAATGTGCAAACAAACATAGCAAACGGAAGAAAGAAAATTAGATCTGTTGTGAAGGATTGTAAGTTTACGCAGACCTCTCCTCCTTTTAAGAAAGGGAGTCAAACTGGTAAACGAGGGCTAGAAGATACATCCGGGATTGTGATGAACTCGCCAAAGCGAAGGAAAGCACTACTATAAAGAAAAATGGTGAAAAAGAGGTAATTGCTGCATCCTATAGCGAACATGTGGTGAACTCGCCAAAGCGAAAGGAGAGCTCTACTACAAAGAAAAATGGTGAAAAAGAGGTAATTGCTGCATCTTATAGCGAAACGTTGGCAAACGCGAATCAATTGCAACCTAGTGAATGGGTTACACAAACGAGGAAGAAGGCAAAAAANACCAAAGCGAAAGAGAGCACTACTACAAAGAAAAATGGTAAAAAAGAGGTAATTGCTGCATCTTATAGCGACACTTTGGCGAACGCAAATCAATTGCAACCTAGTGAATGGGTTACACAAACGAGGAAGAAGGCAAAAAACCAAGACCCAAACCAGTTAAGCCGAACGCTATCATTATAAAGAAAGTCAATGAGGAAGGCATGTCTTATAGCGACTTTCTAAGGACTGTAAAAGGCTCTGCTGATTTAAACAAGCTCGGAGAACAAGTAAAAAGAGTGCGCAAAACGGCCAAAGATGAAATACTACTTGAGCTTAAGCACGCGTATGATGAAAATACGCAGTTATTCAAGGCAGGCGTACAAAAGATACTGGGAAATGTGGCGGAGATAAAGTCCAATTTGATCACGCTTGAGATACATGATATGGATAAGATCACGACCAAGGAAGATGTAGCTAAGTGTATAACTGAACAAATATCGGCAATTGATGATTTCGATGTAAACTGGGTCAAAACCATCCGAAAGGGATACCCAGGCACACAGATAGCTTCACTATCTGTCCCACCGCTTATCGCGCAGAAGATTTTAACGGTAGGATTGGTTGGTCAGTTTGCCGTATCCGTGAAAAAACTCCTCTCTCCAGATGCTATATGCGGACCTGCAAAAATGAGGATCGCAGCGGTTGCTGCTTTAAATTCGGGGAGAAAGGCCACAATGTTAAACAGTGTAGCAAGGAATCCGCTTGCGTGCTCTGCAAATCTAGTGGTCAAGCCAATGAAGCCCATATTGCAGGTGGTAAGCAGTGCCCATTCTATCAGCGTGCATTAAAGGCTAAAGTATGAAGCTTCTACAATTAAATCTTAACCACTGTTCAGCTGCTCAGGAGCTACTCTGTCAAACCGTTATAGAGGAAGACATTGGCATCGCTATTTTAAGCGAGCCATATAAGACAGCAAGCCAGGGTACATGGATATCAGGTAAAAAAGAAACAACTGCTATATGGGTCAATGGGAAGCAGTGTCTTGCTGAGAAACCTTATAGTCAGAAGTATTTTGTCAGAGGTAGGATCGGCGGGATATATATCTATAGCTGTTATGCACCACCGAGCCTGAGTTATCAAGACTTTGAATCTTTTCTAGATAGACGCTTGGTGGACACCGGAAATAGCTGATCTTCGATCTGAATGCAATAAAGCCAGAAGAAAATGTCAGCGAATAAGAACGGACGCCCAAAGAGACCATTTTAAATCTTTACGGAAACGGTTAAAGGTTGCAATTAAAAATAGCAAGAAAGCGTGTTTTAAAGACTTGTGTAACGAAATTGATGAATACCCGTGGGGCGGTGCCTACAAAGTCGTTATGAAAAAATTCAACGGTAGCCAAATGCAGAAACCTACTTGCCCGGTACTACTTAAACAAATAGTAGAAACACTGTTCCCGAAAGCGAAAACTAGCCTAGGGCCTGTACCAAGTGAAACACATACAAATGCTTACTATCCGCCACTTGAGCCTGATGAAATCAAATGCGCGGCCAAACGGCTAAAGAACAATAAATCTCCAGGTCCTGATGGTATTCCCAACATTGCTATTAAAACTGCAGTTGACGACTCTCCGTCAGCGTTTTTAAAAGCGTTCGACTCCTGTCTTCGTAGCGGAGTATTCCCGAATAAATGGAAGAAGCAAAGATTAGTCTTACTTCCAAAGCCCAATAAACCACAAGGTGAACCTAGTTCTTATAGACCCCTATGTATGATTGATTCCTTAGGTAAGTTACTTGAACGCATCGTTTGCAATCGCTTGCGGCAGCATATCGATACCAAAGAATGTCTGTCAGACACTCAATTCGGGTTTCGAAAGGGTAGGTCAACTGACGATGCTATACGCAGCGTTACCGACATTGCTGAAGAAGCTGATGTAAGATGTAGAAAATGCTTTTAACTCGTTGAGCTGGTCGCACATTATAAATGCGTTAAAAATTATTCATACACCACAGTATTTAATTAATATAATTAACAGTTATCTATCTAATAGAGTTTTGTCCTACAACACGGAAAGAGGCAAAGTAAGCTATAGAGTCTCCAGAGGGGTTCCCCAAGGTTCCGTCCTTGGCCCACTTTTGTGGATCATAGCCTACGATGGCGTATTGCGTCTACCCATTCCGAAAGGAGTTTAAATAATTGCCTATGCCGATAACATCGCTTTGGTGGTTGTGGCTAAAGACATAAATAGGGTGCAAATGGCCACAACAAATGCTTCCAAAATAGTCATCGACTGGCTTACAGCGAGGGAGCTGAACTTAGCAATCGAGAAAACAGAAGGTGTACTCATAACAAGTAGGAAGAAAAAAGAGACCGCAACCTTGAATATAAACGGGTATGTCTTTGATACATTACCAGCAGTGAGGTATCTAGGCGTAATGATTGATGCAAGGTTATC